ATCATAAGGTACAACACTTAATGATAGTCATAGGGTACAAATAAGTAAGCAAATCATACTAAGAAACAATCAATATAAATCGTAAGGATACAAGCAACAAAGTTACAGTCATACAATCATAAGTGAGAGATGGGTGATAGGAACGATGAGAAGATTAATAGTAATAGTAATGCAGACTTACTAAATAGTTTGACAGGGAATTATTTGTTTAGCAGAGTGATAGCGTTTGGGAAAAAACTGTTCTTGTGTCTAGTTGTTCTGGTATGCAGTGCTCTCTAGCATCGTTTTGAGGGTAGGAGTTGAAACAATTTATATCTAGGATGTGAGGTGTTTGTAAATATTTTCACAACCCTTTTTTTGACTCGTGCAGTGTACAGGTCCTCAATGGAAGGCAGGTTGGTAGTAATTGTTTTTTCTGCAGTTATTATCCCCTGAACTCTGTGTCTGTCTTGTTGGGTTGAGAACCAAACCAGACAGTTATAGAGGTGTGGATGACAGACTCAATAATTCTTCTGTAGAACTGTATCAGCAGCTCCTTGGGTAATTTAAGCTTTCTGAGTTGGTGCAGAAATAACATTCTTTGTTATGTTTTTTTGATGGTGTTTTTGATGTTAGGTGCTCATTTTAGGTCTTGAGAATTGATAGTACCTAGAAATTTGAAGGTCTCTACTGTTGATACAGTGTTATCTAGTATTGTAAGAGGTGCTAGTATGGGAGGGTTTCTCCTAAAGTCTACAACCATTTCTACAGTTTTGAGTGTAGAAATTCCAGATTGTTCCTGTCATACCATGAGGCTAGTTGTTCAACCTCCCGTCTGTATGAGGATTCATCATTGTCTCAAATGAGACCAATCACTGTTGATTTTGGAATTAACTATAAAGAATCCTCGCCATGGGAAAATGCTTTTGTTTTGAATTATTAATAAGACTTTAAAAATTAAACACTAGAAGCAACTAGGAGGACTTAAAAGTTACACTTAAAGAAGAAAAACACTCAATCTTATTTTATAAATACAGAATGAAGAAAAATATTTCAACATTAAGCATGTTGAAGAATATGTTTAAACAATGGACCCAGAAGTTAATTTTAAGTATGTCTGCCTCTATAGATAATCCTGTATTTAAAATATATTAAGGAAGAGGAAAAATGTTTTACCTGACAAAATTTAGGCTGATTTGAAAGTAGATTTAAAAGTAACAGCTAGGAGAATGACATGGAGAAAGATGTTATACTGGACATACAAAGGAAATCGACTGATATTTTAATAATTTAAAAGGATATATAAATAACAAAAGAAGAAAATAACCTAGAGAATTTTCCTATATTGGATTTACCAAATTTACCACTTACTTATTTAGAACTCTGAAGAATTTTCCCTAAACTCCGCTGAAGATGTTACCTAGCCAGGTAATAAAATGTTTGGAAACTAACCCACAAGTTCAGAGAATGGACCTTTACCCTCAAGAAATGCAATTCTAGAAAATTATTTCAGGGACAAAGATCAAGATTAGAAGAAGTAAAATGAAAGAATACAAAGTTGGCTTACTTGATCAAGGGTAAAATAGATCTGTTGTTATCTCTAGTAATATTTAATGGACTTTTGCTGACATCAGGACTAATGATGAGGCTTTAAGGATTTGTTTATAAATAAGAAATGAGATATGAGAAAAAGAGACAATTTGTTGTATTTTAAGAAAAGATGGTAACTTACAAAAATTGTTTGTTGTGGTGAACAACAAGGCAGAAGTCGTTTTTTATATATTTCTTTTTTCTTTACTATATTTTTAGTTTTTCTTTCTTTTCTATTTTTTCTACTGTTTTCCTTTTTTAGCTTTTCTGCACCTTTTATTTTTTGTATATTACTTTTAATACTATTATTATAAAAACAACTCACCAACATTTGGAGAAAATTTCCATTTCAGATTATTAACATTACTTTTTATTCCATCCTTCTATGCAGATCTCATAGTAATATCTTTAGTCTGCACAACAACACTTGAATAGCTGAGCTAAGGTTTGAACTCAAATGAACTAAATTTCTTTTCATGTTGACATTAAGTTATACTACTACAGGGTTCAGAATTAGTAATATAAAATTATTCTGCATGAAAAACATTATAACAAAGTGTTTTTCTTTTCCTAAAAAAATATTGATTGCAGATGCATTTTAAGGCACATTTGTCAATTGATTTTTGAAATTCTGTAAGTATGATGAAGCTGATGGAGAGTTAAATACAAGAGGGAAAAAGGAAAGCTGGAGAAGCAACTTCAAAAAACAGGACAGTAGAATCCAATTACCTTCGCTGTTTTGTCCTTCCACTCTGAGAATCAACGATTTGTTTACAGCCATCTTTGATTGCTAAGAAACTGATCCAATATCTTTCCAAATGATGTTGTTATTTATAACTCAGAAAATAAGTGGGTATGCTTGGAAGATTGAATGCTCATTTTCCCCACTCAGTAGAGTCACTGTTTGGTTCTGAAACAACAGTAAACATTCGTTATTCCTTCTTGTTATGTTTAAATGTTTGTACCACAAATACAACGGCAGATAAGCACATGACAGACATATGCAGATGACCAGAAATCTCAGAGTTGATCATGATTCTGTGGGATATTTATTTATTTATTTATTTATTTATTTGTTTGTTTGTTTATTTATTTATTTGTTTGTTTATTTATTTATTTATCTTCTTGTTTACTTACTTATTGTGTTTCAAGACCCCCCATTTCGCTCAAAAAGAGAGCTCTTCATTTCCATAAGAATCCAATTCTTCTTAGTGGAATGGAGTATACATTTCAACCAGTCATAACAATATTGCAGGCTAATATTACAAGAAATATTGTCTTTAGAAAAAAAAAGAATGATGTTCCTTCATATAATATAGCAACAAAACCTAGCCTAGCATCTTCCTGAAAAAACATATTATAATCCCCCCTTTTATCCAATTACCCCATCTCACAGGCAATTATCAACCTTCATTCATAAAAAACTTCAATCTAGACCCATGATGGCAAACCTGTGGCATGCAGTGCCCTCCCTGTGGGCACCTGAGCCGTTGCCCCAACTCAGTCCGCCGCACGTGTGCGCATCTCCCACCAGCCAGCTGGTCTTTGGGTCTAATGTGGGGGGGAGCGTGGAGGAGTCCCGCATATGTATGCATGAGAGGAGGAGTGCAGGGGGGCACACGTGTATGCACAGGGTGCGTGGGGGGGCACACACACATGCATGGGGGTAGGGTACATTGCATTTTGAGGTTTGGGTGTGCACATGTGAATTCACACAAACACACACACTTTGGGCACTTGGTCTGGAAAAGGTTAGCCATCACTGATCTAGGCTTTCAACCTATCCTTATGCCATGGCTGTATGATGGACATCAGTTGTCCATGCTATGGCCATAGAAGCCTCAGGACTTTGCCTATGGCAAGAGGAATTCATGTTCGCTTCTTTTCTCTTTATACAAGTTAGATAAGAGAGCTGCCCCAAACAGTAGGCAGAATGGATCCAGTGGGGAGGTGAGGGGAGAGTGGAATGTGTTCATTCTTGCTGAATGAGACTGCAGCAGTTTGGGATGGGGTTAAAATATTATGTTAAACCATTTTAGTTTGGGGCTAATGAACACTATAGAAGCACTATGGCTTATAAACCATGGCTCTTGGCTGAACAATACACCAGTGGCAATCAAACCATAATTAGCATGTGTTAATTTTGTCTAGGAAAGAATAAAAGCACAAACACAAGGCAGAACTTCAAAACAAAAACTACTGAATTCTTGAAGACATTCTAAAGCCTGCTTTAAGTCATTTTACTTAGCCTGCACACAGTCATTTTAAGTATTAAATGAAATGTGATTATGAAAATTTTATGGTTAGAGTTACAAGTACATATAAATAGTTGATTGACTATATCACTCTGTGCTTGTAAATAAAACATCAGAGGATGTGTTAAACTCATCCTCACATTCAGGTAAGTCAATTTGTGTGTGAGAACAGTAGATGGTTTGAAAGTTCATTTGTGTTCCTGATAGCTTGGGTCAAACGGACAATAATTACCTTGGAAACAAAAAATTAAGTCAGTTCTTGGCAAAGTATTCTTAATCTTAATGTGCAATTTCATTCTTTTAGAATGTAAGACCACACTACTATCGGTATTAAAATTACATGATCATTGCTTTCAGAAATTGTAGGTGCTTCATCATTGGAGATTTTTAAGAAAAGACTGTACAGCCCATCAGTCTGAAATATCATAGGGTCCCCTGCTTGAGCAGGGATTTGGACTAGAAGACCTTCAAGGAACCTTCCAGCTCTATTCTGATTGATTGATTGATTGATTGATTGGTTGGTTGGTTGGTATTTTGTGTGATGATGTATATATGGTTATTTACTACATAAGATTTAATTTATAAGATTTAAAAATGATCAAGCAGGTTGTCCGGTAAACATTCTCAACTTAATGCATACTACAGTTCTTATGGATCAGTTCTGAATAAAGCATGTCAGATCAAGACTCTTTCTTTACCTCAAGGATCTTAGAATCACATTTAATCCTTGATTAAGAAGTTTTTGAATCAAAGTTGTATTCATTTTGCATTTACAATTTATACACGACAAGCACTTTTGTTTATGTTTTAATTAAAATTTATTTTATGAACATTTCCCAAACCTAAGTCAGGGAGGAAAACTCACAACACTGAACTTGACATATTCACCAATCCTTCTGTGCAATACACTTAATGTTGCATTCATAACATTAAAAAAACAGAAAATGGAAAATGGAAAATAAAAACATTTTACTCTTTAAAAAAAACAGAAAGGAGCAGAGTTAGCTATCACATCAAACAAAAATACAGAGGATACAATGTGTGGGGGAAATGTGATTACCCACGTTATATTTCTGGCTTCCAAGAAGCTGCCTTAATCCACCAATATCCATATGTTCGATACATGATCTGCATTTAATTTAATTAATTAGTTGCCAAAGTTGGTATAAAGTCTTAAAAGTTGGACAGTCTTTGAGGATCAATCAGGAAAGAGGAAAGCAGTAAGAACCTGCTTACACAGGTTAAAAAATATCTTACTTACTATTTTGGACATCTCTGATTTTTTCCCAGGATTTTTCCCCCCCTTCCTGGTCAGATTATTCCAAGTTTCTTCTCTACTGAAAACCCTTTTTTCCTGAACAGAAAAACAGCAATCCGACAATGAAGAAAGTCTCTTCCTTCTTTTTTTGTGGGATGTGGGCTACAGTCTTGATATCAGTCTTATTATCAAACTTGATAACAAGAGGAAATTGATACTAATAAGCCTAGGCCAATGGTCTGATTCAGTAAAGGCAATGATGAACACAGGACCGGGGACTTCATGGACCCCACAACTGTGCAGTTGTTCCTTTCAGGATGCTTGTTCAACTTTCCCGTCTAGCCTGAACGTAGATTTCGTTCTAGCCTAGGCTTCACCAGAGCGTGAAGAAAATTCCTTGTCCCGACAAAAAACCCTTTTATTAATTTACTGTGAATTATACTCATTTACATCCAACAAAGTGTTTCGAGGGATGATTTAAAATCACAAACCTTATCTGGCTTGGGAAGTTGCCAGGCTGATATCTGCAGAACTTGGCAAAGAGAGTCATGAACCAATTAAGCAAACTAATTGTCTCCTGCAAACTCCACTCCCCTTTCACTCCTCTTTTTTTTCCTCTGGGAGGGGCCATTCATTGTCCACCTGTGGCCTTACTCCCAGTGCCCTGTTCTTTAGCTGTTCCCTTTGTCTGGCAACTTTGCACATGCACACACTGGGAACAGGCTCCAGCTGTTCATCTGCCTCACTGATGTCTGACTCTGAAGGCAGCTGATAATTGGCACAGGACCCTGGCCCCCTCTCTGCCTCCAACACATAGCCCTAATCAAAACCTTCCCCAGACTCCAGGATTGGCCCATGTTCCTTCCCAATCTCTTCACTGTCCGAATCTGCTGCCAGTTCTGCTGGCAGGCCACAACAGACTTAGACTTAGAATAACTTTATTGTCACTTTGAATGTACACTAATTGGCATACATTAAAATGAAATTTTGTTGCATATAGCTCTCAAGGGATCTCCATATCTAATATACACTAACATAAACATGACAAGATAAATAAATACAAAGTTATGCGTGTACCCACATATGTTATATGACACGGAGAAACAATGCACTCTAGTTCAGATGTATACATGTACATGGCGAAAGAAACAAATCTTGCAAGTTTACCAGATGGATAGCATAGGGAACAAAGCTGTTACAGAATCCTGCTAGAAATACTTCAGAACCTCCTCCCTGGAGGGTTGGAAGATTGGATTATGTCCCTGACAAACACTAACTGGGCCTGACCCTGCTTAGCTTCTCTGCACAGGGAAAACAACCCCAAACAAGCCACCTATCTCAACTTCCACCTTCCCATCCCAGGGATAAAAGGGCATTCATGCTTTCTTTGGAGTCAAAACAAGCTTGTGGTAACTGTTCTACAGGGCTGTGCTAGTTTATCTTCAAATGTCCCTGGGTGGACATATCCCATTCTTTAAAAAAAAAAGTCTGTTGCAAGCATTGATTAGATCGTGCTCCATTAGTTTTAAACATTTAAACAGTTTTACACATTTTTTAAAGGCCCTCTGTTCGTGTGGGCGGCATCACGCTCAGATTCCCTGCCTCTTCGCTGTCCAACCTAAAGTACCGTGGAAACCCTGTGCGCCTCTATGGCAGCGTTGGGTTCTCTTTCACAGCATCCTCCCTACAGCTTGTCACACGCCGCTCACCTGTACGCGAGAGCCCGCATCCCACTAAAAACACGTGGCCAGGCGCCCCGCCACGCAGAGGGCTTGTGAGAGAGAGAGAGAGAGAGAGAGAGAGACGGAGATCTGCCAGCTCCTTCCCCCACGTCTCCTCCCCGCGGATCCTGAGGGCCAGCCGCCCTCTTCGCCAAATCCTGCCTAGATCGCTCCCGCTTGCCCTCGCCCCCCACTTCCTCCGTGGAATCTCCGGGGGCAAGGAAGAAGCCGAGGGAGGGGGGAGACGCGGAATGAGTCACGCTTGAGCGAAGCAGGGAAACTCCAGCTCCTCCGCCGAGGCCAACGCTATTAAAAAGCGCATGCGCGCCCGGAGCCTCTGCTCTGCTCCCCACCCTCCCTTCCTCGCTTTCCCCTCTCCCTCCTTTCCTTCCTCCCTCCCTCCTTCTTTCCTTCCCTCCCTCCCTCTCTATCTCTTTTTCTCTCTCTCGCTCTCTCTGTCTTTCCCTGCCGGCTGGGTGCTGAAGTTGGGCGGATGGCAGCAAACCAGCTCCGCTAAGGACCAGCTGCACCAGCCTTTTCCCCGGGACCGTTCAGTGCCAAGCACACACCACCAGGCGGGGGTGGGTAAGATGGACCGCTTTTTTCCCCCCTTCTCTCTCTTTCGCTCTCTCGCTCTCTCCTTTCAACCCTCCGCCTTGGACAAATCGCTGGCACCAAAATGTCTGCTTTATAGACCGGTGCTTGGAGATAGATCTAGATCTCGACCAGGCGAACCGCGAGGGGCAGGGAGGGAGGCAGGGAGGGAGGGGCTGCCTTCCTGCCCGCCTGCCTGCGTGGAGTGCGAAAGCGAGAAACTGGTATGACTGAGGGCGACCAGAGGTGGAAGCCTGGGTTTTTGGGGTGCGCTCGGTGTGTTTTTGTGTGAGGGAGTGAGTGTGTAAGTGAGTGACTGCGCGCGCACGCGCTAGTGTGTTCGAAGTGTGTGTGTGCGCGCGCGCGCGTGTGTGTGTGTGGCGGGGGAAATGTTGTTTCTCTCCAGTGATGCAGAAAGAGGGAGGGGAGAGGCTCGGCGTGGTGGCTTCCCTGGACCTGCCCTCCTCACGCCCGGGGCTGCCGGCGGGAAGATGCTGAGGGGCTGGAGCGAAGGACTTGAACCTGACAGGAAGGCAGAAGAGATTGGAAGCGCTGAAAGAGGACCTTAGGAAAGGGGGAATTGGGGGGGGGGGGAGAAAGGTGGGGAGGAGGAGAGAAGCTCCGTAGAAGTACAGGCGTCCTTTGCAGATGTAAAAAGAGACATTTCCCTCCTCCTTACCAAGAAATAATACAATGTTGGAACTTGCTTTTGCCTTCCCCAATCTCTTTGGCAGTTATAGAATCATCTTCTCCCTTCTCTTCTCTTCTCTCCTCACTTCCAAATTTTATCTCCTTCACCACTCTCTGTAAGAAATTGGCATCCTTTCCTTAAAACAACTGGTCTTAAAAACATCATAGAATTGGTCAGAAGGAAAGGAAAAGAAATGAATCCTATAGCTTTGATGTGAAGAGGCTACCTGACCCCACATACACACACACACACACACACACACACACACAACTGAGGAGGTGGGGTGCAGAGCTTTTCCTTATTATTCCTAAGGTCAGCCAAGAAAACATTTCCTGGTCTTGCCAGTCCATTGGAGTTTCTTCTGCTTGGCCGAGACCTATTTAGCTCCTTCTCCCCGACTGCTCTTTTGAGATTGCATGAAGTTGAAGGAAAGGCTTGGGTCCACTTAGAGACCCAGATATGTCAAATTGGGGCGGCAGAGGGGGGGCAGTGGCTGCTGTAGAGACAGGCAACCAACAGGATGGTTGTTTCTGATTAGGCAAGAGCAACAGAAGGGGTCTAGTGAGGTGGAGTCAAAATCTGTCACCGCCCTTACCACTCATTGGAAGTGGCATCTGAAATTTTGGCTGCTTCATAGATCGTCTTAGCAGGATTACTAGCTACCCTGCTGGTATGGAAATGTCAAAAAAAAAAAAAAAAAGGAAGAAAGGGCCTGGTCTTTTTGCTTTCAGAATATCCATCTTTCCCTCCAGGATATAGCAGAGTCTGATGAATCAACACACTTTATTTGTAACTATCTACTCTGCTTCATTTTATTCCTTTTGTAGTTTCAGATTGCTGTAATCTCCAGCAGGTTTAGACAGAGGGGTGGCTCAAAATCTTTTCTTTCAAACTAACTTTTAAGAGATGGGATCAAAAGCTACTACTTTTATGTATAGTTTCATTGTAATCTGTTGTGTTACAGACCACTCCAGAATTGCAGTTATGGCACTATTTTAAATGCATACACAGGGATAATGTTCAGACTTAATATGGGCCATAGGGTGTGTCTCTCCCCAAAAAAGCCTATTAAGCCTTCAGTTACAATATATTTGTAAATGTACGTCACAGAATCTTACTTTATAATAACAATTCTTGTTATTCTAGTGTCCATAGAGGCACTATACTCAGGGTAGCCCCAACCGGGTCTCCAACCTATTCTGAATTTGTTCATTTATTTTAATAGATGTTCCTATAAACAGAAAGCATTTGAGCCTTCATTTATCATGGTTTGGTTATAGTTTAATTTGATTTACATAATGTTAATTGTGGTTTTCTTAATTTGTGGGCTTTTACCAAGATGTTCTTTTTTTCTTTTCTTATGTATCTTTTTTATTCTTGTGGTAGTTTTGGCACTCAATATCAAGCCCTCCTGCACGGGGTGCTTCAGTACCATCATCAACGATAGGTCAATGTTGATACCCCAGTTTTAGTGGTTTTGGTTTCTACTTGCTGTTTCCATAGCAGTCAGGTTTTTATAGGGACGCAGTGGTTCAGTGGCTAAGACACTGAGCTTGTAGATCAGAAAGGTCCCTAATCCCTAATGCCATGTAATGGAGTGAGCTCCTGTTACTTGTCCCAGCTTCTGCAACACAGTAGTTCGAAAGCATGTAAAAATGCAAGTAGAAAAATAGGGACTACCTTGGTGGGAAGGTAACAGCATTCCTTGTGCCTTCAGCATTTAGTCATTTTGGCACATGACCATGGAGACGTCTTCAGACAGCACTGGCTTTTTGGCTTTGAAACAGAGATGGCACCGCTCCCTAGAGTCAGGAACGACTAGCACATATGTGCAAGGCAAACCTTTACAGGTTTTTAAAAGGTAGGGTTGCTAGCCCTATGCCTAACTCTTTTCCTTATCCAGGCTTGGGACCAGCAACAACAGCTGCTGAACTACTCAATCCATCCAGTGGCCACCACAGGTGGAGTTATCTTCTCTTACTGGGAGTCCTTAGGGATTCAGCAGTCTATAAATGTAAATCATCATCATCATATTTTATCATGTGTTTTGCTATAGTTTACTCAGAAATAGTGACATGGAATTTATTGGGAAGTTAATATTAGTGTGGTTATTTCATTTCATTTTATGTTATCTGAAATTTGCCTTCTGCTTCCTGTCTCCCTTCTTTTGAATATTTATTCAAATGAGCCATGCTGAATTCAGTGAGGGTTATTTCCAGTTGGATGTTCATAGGACTGCAATTTTAGATTGAAATTAGAAAAGTATATTCCTTTATGATCCCTTAGAAAAAACAGATTAGCTAAAATTAAGCATTCATGGAAGAGTTCTCCAACAAATTGTGTTTTACATGAGTGAAAAGTATGAATCAATTCCAGTGGGTAATAGAATTTGATTGGTGTATGATCAGAAATGTTCTGTTCTTGAGTGTTGGGATAGCAAAGCTTCACACAACTGTTCCTCAATTTGGCAGTCTCTTCAGTGTGACTCATTGTTAAGATCTTCCTAGGTTCTACATTTTGTGTTTCTCATGCCTGTGTGACAACGTGTCACTTTTAACTACTTTGGAAATTTTGTTGAAAGGTAGTAGGTAAAATATTTATAAAAATAAAATAAAACATTTTGAAGCTCGGTGAGGTATGTAGAAGTTCTCACATTGTCCCTGCATAAATCAGACCTATTTATAATATGTATACATGTCATCAGTGTCAAAAGGGCAAATTTTACTTTTGAGACACCAACAGTTAGATTTTGCCTAATTGATACTTTATCCCATTCCACTTTTTGCTAAAAGCCAGAGAGAGATACCTCAGTTATAATTTCACTAGGTTTACAACAGAAGTTTTTAATTTTAATTTTAATTTTCCCCGTAATTCCCATCTCAAAAATGAGGAGTATAGTTGTAGAACATAATGCTTATTCTAAACATAGGCAGTGCCACAAAGGAAAGCATTAGATATAAAAACATCAGCCTTGCCTATCTTGCTCAATACATTTGCTCTTATTTGGAAAAATCCAATACTTCCATTTAATTCCCAATCAGGCCGTTGACTGAGATTCTTAAATTTAAGAAATTATAAACAAGTTGCTATTGACCCTTTGTACTAATACTGTTCTAGGATATATTCTGCTTTGAGTTTAATCAATAGAGAGCTTTTCTCTAAGCACTGCTACTTGCAAAGGAGCCAAATGGACTTATCACAACTCTTGTTCCGTTCCTCTGTTCTAAGAATAAGAGTGTTTTTTAACAAATAGGATAGAAAAGTAATGCTAGACAACAATAGCACTTAGACTTATATACTACTTCATAGTGCTTTACAGCCCTCTCTTAGCGGTTTACAGAGTCAGCAATGCATATTGCCCCCAATAATCTGGCTCCTGATTTTACTGACCTCGGAAAGATAGAAGGCTGAGTCAACCTTGAGCCAGTGAGGATTGAACTCCTGGAAGTCAGCAGAATTAGCCAACAATTCTAACCACTGCACCACCATGGCTCATAGGATAGTATCTCTAGAAAGGATGTATCTCCCATACAACAGGAAAAAAACATTGATTTACAACTTATTATTTTCATGGTCTGCATTTTTATTGGAGTATTCCAATAAAACTCCCCATCTGTATTGGCGAAACTAGAGGCAATTCATGAAAATATTGCAAGTGGCCCCTGAGTGAATACGCAATGAAATTTTATGAAAAAATTAAAAGGCCAAAATGTCAGAAAATTACCAAATCTTTTGAGAGGTTGAAGCATTTTGCAAAATCTCAGGTAGGAAAGCTATTTTGAGATTTGGC